CATTTGATATCAGATGGATATTTGCCATGCTGGACATAGAAGAGTAATACTGTAGTTCAGTGATCCAGCACATATTTGTATTCAGAACTCTCTGGTTCTGTCCCCCACACCTCCAAGCAGGGTTGAGAAAAGCTCCTTTCTGAAATTCAGCCATATTGAGTCAATACACCTCCTACTGAGCTTCACTGACCAGTGATTCTGATTTGCCACAAGGCAGGTCTGCTGCTTTGTTCTTTTATGACTACAAGGCCACAAAATGTACAGCATTGTCCAGGTTGGATTCCTTAGCATCCTTTGCTTTGCCACAGGACACAAAGGTATGGGGGAGGGGAACCTTCCCTTGTAAGATTCCTGATAGCGAGATGGCTTGAGTAGAGCTCCTTGGACTTTGCACGTGCTTTCCCATCATTTAGGACTCTACGTCTAACCCTAACCCTCAGTCCTGGAACAGCATCCATGGAATTTCATTTTAGCATATAATCTAATTGAGAAGTCCCAGGCTACACTCCATCTGCGGTTTTATAGGGGCTGCTGGCGGCAAATTAGATCCATCCCCTTCCATTGGATGTGTTGTCAGTTTTATGACTTTGGGGCTTATATAAATAGGAGAGTGGGGAAGACTAGTGGGAGGGAGGGAGGCTCAGGCAGGCAAGGGAGTAGTCCACAATTGCCAAACTTCCTTCTCATCTTTTTAGTGTTTGAAAATTCTGGTTAGTTTATTAAAAGAAATTAAAAAATCACTCAGTGTCAGTCCCTGGCTGGAACACAAACCTTGTTGATGTGGAGAACAAGAGGCAACTTCAAACAGCTGTTGGCATGTGTCGGAAACAGATAAAGTGAAATAAATAGAATGAAGTTCAGGGTGGGGTTCTGAGATCACAAGCCAGAACAGAGAAGGGGAAGCAGAATGTTTTAAATTATAGATAATTGTGTGCGTGCATGTGTGTGTGTGTGAGAGAGATGCACATTATAGATGCACATCTGGCTTCAAGTTCAGATCAAGTTTTAATCCTTGGCTCTTTCATAGTCTCCTTCTAAGTACAAAGCACCTGCAGACCTCTTCATTCATTTCACTGGAAACAAGCAACTCCACACAAATCCCTTTCACATGTAGAGCTGCCCACATTGTTAGAATTAGACAAGGCCTTCGGCATGGAGGAGCTCCCTGGACTGCAGTATTTGTGTAATGTTGGGCAACATCTCATCCATCACTCATCAAGCGTATAATGAACAATATAACCCTGCATTTCCTCATGCACAGGGGCCTAGATGTGGCTTCTAATAAGTAGCCAATCTGGCATAAACACCATCAGTACAGCCTAGGCATGCTGTCATTGCAAAATTAACTAAACTAGCACTAAACCAGATCAAGGAGTAGGCACATGTGGGGACCATACCATCAGTGCAGTGGTAATAGTTAAGAATAAAGCACTTTGACCGAATAGCAACGCAAAATTCCATAGGGCAGAATCTCTTAGTACAAGACTGGAAAATAATAAACTTCTGATCTGTGTTGTCTTTTACTGTTCCTACTGAATTTAATTTATTCCCACAAATTTAAAAAATGCAAATGGCTGTTATAGGTATAAAGTTTAGCATTACAACTAGTCTCTGTTCTGCATCAGAAAAATGGTATTGGGGAGAAGCATGTGAAGTAAAAGCCTTCAACCCTACCTTTCTCCTCATATGCTCATTTTCTAAATGCAAGATTCTCTCCATGGCCAGTCCCTCCCTACACGTGATTCAAATTTGTTATTTACCATATGTTATCCTGTGGTAAGTTTACAGTGCCATGCTTCTGGAAGTGAACAATTGGCTGGCTGTATGCCATTACACAGGGAACACCCAAGTGTACTCACAATGCTTTTCCATTTTTTTGGAGAAGCTCCTTCTATGTCCCCAACATATTATACTGTCCACCATTAATTGCTGCTCAAAAGAAATGGATTAATAGAAATGGTCACCGTTCTGCTTCAAAACCAAAGATTCTTTGTTGAATTTCAAGAGAGGCACAGTCGCTGGAAAAATCAAAGGAACAGTCTCCCACAGGGTAGCATCCTGGCACCCTTACTTTTTTTACACAAATGACCAACCAACATTCCCATACCCCAGGAGATTTGTCTATGCTGATGATCTTGCCTTGACAGTCCAGGAGGAAACCTCTGAGGCCAGTGAGCACCAGCTAACCTCTGCAGTAGAAGATCTTTCCCTATATTATAAAAACAATCAGCTAAAATCAAACCCTTTAAAAACAGCTCTGTGACTTCCACTTGAAGAACAGAGAAGAAGAGGAAGCTATGAGTTAGCTGAGAAGGCAAGATTTTGGAACACTGCCCTACCCTATAGTATTTGGCCATCACTCTGGATTGAACCCTGGGCTACAAAAAACATTTGTCTAAACACCAAAAAGAAGGTTGCCATCAGAAATAACATACAGTACTTGAGAAACTGGCTGGTTCGGACTTGGGTGCACACCCACAAATAATAAGAACAACAGCTTTGTCCCTGTGCTACTCCACAGCAGAATATGCTAGTACCGTATGGTATATATCAGCACATACCAAACAAGTGGATGTAGCTCTTAATGAATGATGCAAGATTATTACTAGCTGTCTGAAACTGATCCCTATTGAAAACGTCCATTATTTGGCTGGCATCGCTCAGTATGTTGAGAGGTACTATCAAATAATGAATAAAATAAGGTAATACAGCATCAAATCCACCACTTCATGGACACCAACCTCCTAGACAATAGCTAAAATTGAGGAAAAAGTTTCTGCAGACATCTTAAGCTCTAAATATTAAACTAGCCATAGGCTAAGCTAACCCTATGGAGAACAAAAACAACATACCTTGCAATAGGCTAAGCTAAACCCTATGGAGAACAAAAACAACATACTGTGCCTTGCTGAAAGGATGAATGATGAAGAGTGTCTCCCATCAGGATAAGACTCTAGTTGGGCCATCTAGAAGTCACTTAATAGACTTTGAAGCAAAGTAGGAAGATCAAAGAATAATCAAATAAAATGGGGCTCCTTCCATACAGGACAGTGTTTTCAGTGACTGGAGAAATTCAATCAATGCAGCACTTATGTTCCCACCATGTGTACAAGAGAAGATCTAGCAAATGGCCAAGACAGCACTAATAAAGTAGCCCACTTCTGGTCAAAAGCAGTCTAATCACTTTAACATTTTAAATTAATTTGAACTTTATCTATATTTCATATGCATCCATAATTTTAAACTGTGCAACATTGTGATACGAATAAAGAAGGATCCTATGCAAAAAGGATCACCGTCGGATTGGTGATAGTATACATTTTGCTGGTCCACAAATTCCTGCAGACTGTAGAACAGATCTTCTGGGAGCATTAAGGCCTCTCCACTGCCACCAATATTTCCATAATCCTGATCTCAGAAACCTCTGAAAAGCCACAAACTCTCTATGGTGCTTTTAATACTTTGAGTGGCTCCTTTCCCAATCCTGTGCATTTCTCTGGGGCATGTGTAGGTAAATAATAAATAATAACTGGGCTGGGAAAAAAAAACATTTTGCTTTTAAATTAGTGCAGATCAAATCCACAGGATCGTTCTCTTTCTGCTAGTATTTCCACTCCTATTACTATATATTCCAACTGCTTCTGCTGCCTAAGACTGCAAGCATGTGTACATTTGAGTTACCTTAGGACAGTCACAGTAGTTCCAGAAATGATGAATTTCTTATGATTATCGGGAGTATGTTAACTGAAACTGGATTAACTTCTAAGACAATATTTTTATGACTTGAATACAGGGTGTGTTCGTTAACGGTTTGCTATAGTCCGTGATGACACTATTCATTGCATATCATTCTGTTAAGAGCTCTGCTGAACCTGATGTACCAATAGCCAAAACCACAGCAGGAGGTGGTGCCACTTAGTATATCTACCACTTGGGAGGAAGAGCTTCAAGCTTGTGGGATCTACTTTGGGTTGTTGTTGTTGTTTTTAAAAAAACTGGAACCTCCAGGTCTCCAGTTGCAGTTAGGATGAGGCATCAATGACTTCCTGAGCCCCACAATCATACATCTGAGGTGCCCTGCTGCATGTACAAGTAATGTACTGTATACTTGAGTTGGTATACAGTGGGGGTTCAAACAAGATAATATGGACCTAGAATTTCTATTGTAAAACTGTTGGGAACAGGAGAGCTTTCTTGATCTTTTGCAAATTACAGATAAATCTACCAGTGGATCCTAATATACATCTTTTTCCTAACCATGATCTACAAGACATTTACAGTTGCTTCCTCCTACACTTCTTGTAACCTGGTGTGATTTTATTTAATAACTGAGCGGGATGATTCCATCCAAATGTGGCACAAGCACTTTCACATCTGTAAGGTAAAGGTAAAGGTTCCCCTTGACAATTTTTATCCAGTCCTGTCCGACTTTAGGGGGCGGCGCTCATCCCGCTCTTCAAGCCATAGAGCCAGCGTTTGTCCGAAGACAATCTTTCCGTGGTCACATGGCCAGTGTGATTTAGACACGGAACGCTGTTTACCTTCCCACCGAGATGGTACCTATTTATCTACTTGTATTTGCATGCTTTCGAACCGCTAGGTTGGCGGGAGTTGGGACAAAGCGACGGGCGCTCACTCCGTCGCGTGGATTCGATCTTACGACTGCTTGGTCTTCTGACCCTGCAGCACAGGCTTCTGCGGTTCAGTGGAATTGATTTCACAGACTGGGTTTCTATATACAGTATGATAGCGCTCCGTTGCGTTGCTGGCAGCTACGTGGAAACGGGGCATTGGTTTGCCACAGTGACCCACAAGGCGTAACCCCGGTGACCCGTGTCAAGATGGTCCCTCCTCCTCCTCCTCCCCGCGATTCCACGATGACGCCGGAGTCCCCCCCTCCCCGGAGGCGCAGCAACACCAGCATCGCCAGTGCAACCCAGATTTAAGACATAAGACTCCCGCAAGCGCGATCCCGGAGCTGACGTTGCAGAGTCGTAACCTGAGCGTCGCCCCCGGTTTCCACAGCAACGTCCCCCTCCTGCCCTCACTCTCGCCCTCAGGCCCCTTTCGCCCGGCGCGCCAGTTAGGAAGGGAGGAAGCAGGTGCCCCGACGGGGGTCCGGAGGGGGGGGCAACGCGTAGAGAGCGCAACTCGCTTCCCTCTTTCGCCGCTCTAGGCCTCCCGCCCTCTGTGGTGTCGCATCCCGGAAGCGCCAACAGAGCAAAGGGGAAACGAGGAAGTGGCGGCGGCGACGTGTGCTTTGGAGCCCCGGTTTCTGGCGGGGCCCCCAAAGAGTTGGCGCTCCCGGCGGAATCGTACGCGGCCGCGATCATCCCCCCTCCCTCCTTCCCTCCCTCAGCGCACGACGCAGCCCCTTCGTTCCGCCGACGTCCCATCATCCTCCCGGTCGCCCTCGAATTAGGAAGCCAAACTGTCATCCTTCTGTGCCTCGCTCCCTCCGCTCCCCGCGACCTAATCGCCCCTTCCACCTCAAAACTCCCTCCTTTTTTCGGGAATGGCTTCTGCCCCGTCTTCTGGTTCCAACTGGGGCCTAATTATGAATATCGTGAACAGCATCGTGGGGGTCAGCGTGTTAACGATGCCCTTCTGCTTTCGACAGGTTAGTTCGGCTTTGCGCGCCCGCCCCTTCTCTCTTTCTCTCTCCTGCAACAATCCTCCCCCCTTTTCCATCTCTTGTTCTCCCCAAATAGTTAGTTGGGTCTTGTGCACTGTGGCACCTGGGCAGCTTTTTCTGATCTCGCCTCCCCTCTCCTTTTCCCCCCTTCCTGCCAAGAAATCTGGCAAGGCATATGCTCCGGAGATGCAGCTTTCTACTTCCGAACTTGTGTTGGAAAAGTTGTATCTTTTGAATATGTGTCTGTGGTGGCATCTGTTTAAGTTTATTTAATTTTTAAAATCACCCCACTTTTCTCCTTATAAAAGGACCCAAGGTAGCTTACAGCATATAGGGTTGTAAGTCCTCTATCAGAAAGAAGATTACAGGTGACCTCCTTCATAACAGCCAAAACAGATTAGTTTCGTTTGGTCCACTGCTTAAGGAGGAAGTGGTTTCTTATGCTTTCAAATGTTTTGAAATACTGTACATTGTCCTCATGATCTTATTTCACACTCTTCCCTTCTATGGTAAGTGCTAAAGGTGATCTCAGACATTTTGCTACCCAAGGAAAACTGGACGATAACATCCCATCCTGACCCATATCCAAAAATGTCACTAACCTGATAGACTGAACTTTTAAAACAGTGATTTTGGACACTAATGCATTTGGAAGTAGCAGACAATAGACTAATGTTTCCATTTAAGCCTTAATGGTTTATGTGAACTTTAAGAAAAGTAAGTTCCATGTCAGTTCAGATCTGCTGCCTTCCAAATACTGGCAGCTATTATATTGCAGAGGATGGTGTGTAACTTTAATAGCACTGTCCTTTTTTAACACTTAGAAGGACTCACACAATTATTTGTTTTTTACTGTACTTTATAAGTGTTTTTTAAAAAAAGAATTCTGGTTATATTGTTTATGCTCAACTTATCCTTTCTGCAGAAATGCATTGAAAAAGAATATTAGGTGATTTTAATTCTACAAGTCTTGTATCTTGGCATAGATTCTCCTACCTTGGCTTTCTGGTTATTTAAAAGTTACACGAGAAGGTGTTGTTCTATAGGCCTTAAATTTTATCTGCTGTACTAAAGGTTTATCAAACTTATATGATCTGTTGTGTAGATGCCGAAGTATCATAGGGTTGGAATACCTAGAGGAAATGAGTGTGTATTGTTTTTTTCTTTTCTGGGGAGTGACAGGGTTTTGTTTTGTTTTGGCCTTCTCTTAATGAAAGCCATGTTGCATCTCTTTTAGAATCAAGTCATATTTTTTTTCTTTCTGATTTCTTCTTCTAATTTTTCTCTTCCTGCTCCCCGGCACTGCTTCCTTGGATGTACTGGGGCCATCAGATGGTAGAGCCAAGTATAAGGCAGGTTTTGGAAACAGCATCCAGGGCTGTTTCATATGTTAAGTATCCAATAAATGCATGCCATGCGAATACAATACTGTACTCTGTAATTAGTGAAAATTGTAGACTCACTCATCTTCCCTGATTGCATGTACACTACATTTGCAAGATATAGGGACTCACAATGTGCTGCACTCCTTGCACTTTATAAGCAAAGTGTGTATTTTTGCATGGTCTAAGGGAATATTATGAGTGCATGCAATTTATAGATTTGCATTTTATTTTTAAAACCTGGCTGAGATCACAATAAGAACTGTCATGAATCAGACCAAAGATCTGCCTAGTCCAATATTATGTTTCCAACAAGTGGGACATGAGGGCAAAAGCTGTGTCTTCTAGTGGCTTTTCAGTAGCTAATACTCAATTGCACACTTGGCTGTTTCTGAAACTGGAGATTTCATAGACGGTGACACATTCCTTTGCTGTAATGCTGATAGGTTCATGGTTTGTAAGCAGATGGCATCTGAAATCCCAGAATTGTCAGTAACTGTAGCATCCAATCTCAGTATCTACAAAGTTCCTTCTTTCCCTCACAGTATTTTTATCAAAGTTCCTTTTCTACTGGTTCTAGATACCCAATTCAGTTCTTTACGGCTAAGTTCTGGTTTCTGAATTGGTCTTAGGGTTGTAATTTCATAAGCAGTATTTGCTAGTCAGATTTTACTCTTTCTCAATGATGATCTAGTCAGTGCTTCCCAACCTTGGGTGCACAGATCTTGGACTACAGTTCCCAGAAATTCTAGCCAGCACAGCTAGTAGTGAAGGCTTCTGGGAGTTTTAGTCCAAGAACATCTGGGGACTCAAGGTTGGGAACCACTAACCTATGTCTTTTCTTGGAAGCAGAGAGTACCCTGACTTTTCCACTAGTGTTTCATTTATCAATCCCAGTCTAATATGCTGCTATTGAATGTTCTGTTCAAGATCCACTATAATCCCGTCAGCTTTCTTTGGAATAGGGTTGTGGCCCTCCATATGTTATTAAATGCCAGATCCCATTAGCTCTGACCAGCCGGGCCAATGAGGAAGTATGATGGAATTAATGGATAAGCAACATATAGGGGGCCTTTGCTCTAGGAGGTGGGATGCTCTACCCATACAGGATAATGTAGCTATATTATACTGTTTTTAGTGTTTCTTGCCTGCCAACTTTCAAGTAATCCATCTTCCAGGAACTTAAAAAATGTTGGTGAATAGCCCTTGACAGCTGGCTTCCAAATTAGACTGGATGATATCTCTTTTACTTTCTTTGAGGCCTTATCATTTATCATCTGAGGTGTTCTCACCACATTGTCAGGGAGCTATGTTTTGTGAATGCTCATTCTTTTATCACAAAATAAGTTGCTCTCATATTTGAAGTATAATGTGGTTTCTTTATAGGTCAAAATCCTATTGCTTAGCATGGTAAATTGCAGTAGAGTAGGCCCAATGCATCAATAGGGATTGGTGAGTCAACTCTTCCATAAATTCCGTTGATTCAAATAGGCATACTTTGTTATATACTATCTAAAGTAACTTGCAGTTAAAGTAGGCCCGTTTGAATCAGTGGAACTTACAGAGGAGTTTGCTTGCCAAATTCCCACTGATTCAGTGGGGCTACTGTAGTACAATTTAATATGCTAAGCCACAGGATTTTAGTCACTGTGTACTGCAGAGGAGAGAGTGAGATTTACTACTAAAACTGCATTCTGCTTTTATTTTATTTTTTTATTGTTCAGTCATGAAATAATCTAACACCTCTGCAGCCATTATCAACTATTGAAAATTATATCTTTTTGACAAATCTATTGTCCTATAACTCCGCAGTCTTCTGAAGAAAAGAAAATAATGGTGATTGTAAGCAGATTTGCTGTTGGTTCATGATGAATGATCCCACAAAAAGTTAAAATTGCTCTATGATGCATTGATCAGGAACAATGTATAGCCTACAATAAATGATGTTTAGAAAACTGGAAAGGTAGCCCCCCCGATTCTACTTGGGTTGCTGGGGTGTGCTCCTAATTGAGTGTACATAGAGGAACAGTTTTAACAGGTAAGAGCTTTTTGTGGTGAGACAAGCTAAATTTATTTGCTAAAACTGTTAAGCAAATTGATAACCTGATATTGCTTTAAAAATGTAAATACAGGCGTACCTCAGTTTACGAATTTAATGCATTCTTTAAACGTTATGTAATGTGAAAAATTCGTAAACCAAAATGCGGTTTGCCATAGGAACGGGGACGGCGCTATAAACCTCCAGGAACAATGCATCCTGGGGAAACTTGCTTCGTGTTGCGAAAAAAATTGTAAACCGAGGAATTATTTTCAATTGATTTTCCTTCGTAAAGCGAAAATTACGTTAACCAAGGCGTTCGTAAACCGAGGTACTACTGTATACATATACACAGAGGCATACTGTACGCTGACACACAATGTCCTTTTGGAGGGGGAATTTTCCAGGCAATTAAAATCTTTGAATCAGAAGGTTTCAGCCAATCAAGATATTCAGCTGTTGGTTTGTTCCATCTTTTTCCCAACAGATGGCATTAGCATGATGCAAAGCAAAACACTTGAGTCATGTAAGCTGGTCCGTTAACAGATGGCACCATGATGTAGATATATTTTTTCATATGTAGATAGATCTGCATCAGAGTATTCTTGCTGGAATATTTGACTTGTGAAATGATAAACACTGCTTTTTTATCAGACAGTAGCTGCAGACTCAGCCGGTGAAGGGCTTGCTGTCTTTGGCTTTAACCTTGGATTGATTTGGGAACAGAGTGCCTGTTGCTATAAGTCCGCTATCTATCCCCAGGATCAGCCGTTTGTTTGACTATGGGGCATGTTATGCAATGTTTGAAGGCAAATGTTGGACTGGGACCATGATGCCTTCCTTTGGACCTCTATCTTTGCCATCATTCATTGGTTTTATATATTTCCTGTTGAGGAGAGAAAAATTAGTTTCTAGTTCTGTAGGACAATGATTTTAGTGTTTTTAAGGAGGCAAACAGTCCTTTGCACTGACATAAGTCTTCCTTGGCCCTTCGAAGCTAAGAAACAAAACCCTTACATGTTGTTATGAACTTTTTTGAATATATAGGAACTATCAGTCCTTTGCATATCTGCTTAAAATGAAGTTCCAGTATGCTTAGAGCAGAGTTAGGCAACATTATGTTCATGGACAACCGGTTCCAGAATTCCCCCAGCCAGTATGGCCATGCTGGGGGGGTGTTCTGGGAGTTATAATATATAGTTTCCTAGCAGGTAGTGGGGTTTAATGCTAGGTAACCCTAAAATTCTCATGCATTTCAGTATCCATACTGTATGTTAGAATCAGGGTGGATTTGGTTCAAATCAAATTGACTTAAATCATGATTAAAATGAAAACAAATCAGGTGTTTTGATAATTTAAATTAAAAAACATTTTTAAAAATTTAAATAATGATTTATATAGTGATTTAAATCAATGTGATTTTTAAAAAAAAATAAAACATTTTTAAAAATTTAAATAGTGATTTATATAGTGATTTAAATCAATTTGATTTTTTTAAAAAATATCTCTGATCTTTATCCACCCTGGTTAGAATTAATAAACATGATAGTGATAAGCAGTCTGAAAGGGAAAATAGAAATATAAGCAACAGGGAAGTAAAATATAAATGTAAACAGCATCAAGAAAAATGCAGTTGCAAACAGCGTGAAGCAATAATAAGCCTGAAAAGAAAAAGGATTCTGAAGATTAGGAAGACTCAGTTTAAAATTAAGCTAGCCACGAATGTAGAGAAAATAAATGTATTATTATATTAAGGGAATATTACTGCCATGTAGTGCATCAAGGACCTCATGGAGAGAAGAGAGAATGAGATCACACGTTGCGGGTGAGCATAGGGGAAGATTTGTTCGTATCATTGTCTCCTTTGGGAACATTTACCTTCCTAATGCGTGTGGCAGGTTCTATTTCTGATATTGTTGTGGCAGGCAGCATTTCATGACACTTGCCTCTGAACTGGTGATAGAGACAAATGCCCCCATTGGTAAAGCAACAAAACAAAATAGAACAGCATGTACTGGTTATGGGTCACCCAGAGGTATAGTTGATTCCCCACCCCCAGTTCTGGACTTAACAGGAGGTGGACTGCTGGTAGCAATTAAGTCTTTGTGGCTGTGAAAATGCTTACCACCAATGATGTGTGGTTGTGCACAGGAACATCTGGTTGCTGATGCTTTGCCAGTGTACAACAGTACTTGTTAACAGATACTGCTAATAGATGCTATGGCACTTGGTTGCATGAATGGATAGCAGAGTACAGGAGTAGGCAAGTACCTCCTATAAGACTTCTGCCTGTCCAAGGTTGTGCGTCATTTTTTCGTATCAGCAGGCCCTGTGGGGTAAGGGGTTCTCCACCCTTTTTTGCCTGTTCTACCACATATTCTGGAAACGGTTACAGCACGCTTCATTTTGTGCAAAAATGTTCTGTGGCAGTTGTTTCCGAAGGGACTTGACAGGACTCTGGAGATCATGTTAGTTGTTTCCAACTCCACAGGTGCCAACTGATGTCGAGAAAGCTTCCCTTGAGGAAAAAGTCCTTCACAGCATTTGGGTCAAAAGGCCTCTCAAAATAGGCCATTGGTTTGTTATGCGCACAGTTGCCAGAAGCTCCACAGCTACAACTCTTTCGACTCATGGAGAACAAACAGCAGCTGCGATTAAAATTTAGCACCACTTGTTCCTGCCCAGAGTCACACATTGTTTTCATAAATGCTCAGCCATTCATGTCCTCTCTCCTCCCCCTCCTTCCCCCAAACTCCTTCCGCTTCCTCTACAGAGATGTTCAGAGAGTTGAGCCAGCACAATGCTTTTGAGACAGGTAGCTAACAGGGTAATTTATGTTTGTGTCATCCGTGGGTAGAACAGCCAGTAAGGCTTCCGCTGAAGAGTTCAAACTCCTGGATCAACAGCATGCTAACTTGTTTAACATGAATCTGGTAGGAGCTAGAGACAGATCACTGTTTTGGAAGGTGCCCAGAAAATGTCACAACACCAGGGCGTGGAGGATTCTTTGCTTCCACAAATTGTTATGGCTTTCTTTTCCAAGCAAGAAAGGACTGCAACCAAGCCATCTACTAAACAGGTGGCAGGTCCCTCACTCACTGTGTGTGTATGTGTGAGAATAAAATTGAACTCATACGTCACATTTTAGCTGACTGCTGTTCAGGGGCATGGGATCTCCCTTTACAGGCAAGCGTGTGGCTGCAAATGTCCTAGGCAGCCTCTAGGTGATTTGGAACAGCAATAAGAATGCATGAAATAAGAATCGAACAGGAGAGGGGGGGGTGTTGAATGTTTATTATTTATCCAGCGTTTTGTTGTATCCCTTCCCTCCTTTCTAGTGTGGCATCTTTCTGGGAGCCCTGCTGCTTGTTTTCTGCTCCTGGATGACTCATCAGTCCTGCATGTTCCTGGTGAAATCAGCCAATCTCAGCAAGCGCAGGACCTACCCTGGGCTAGGTGAGCATGGTCAGCTGGGGGTGGGGGGGTTATGCTGTGCTTTTACTCTGTTTCCGAATTTACAGCTCTCATACTGGTGTGGCTAAATTATTCAGAGCACTGTGGGAATGGTTCTCCCCCATAGACTCATTTCTTTCCTCCTTGTGTGTAACAGCTGGCTGTAGCACAATGATTTAACTCTTTGAAGAGGACATGGAAGAACTGCTTTGACTGCGCAAGCCAGAGAGAGAAGAGAACAACCCAAACAAAAGCTCATAGGAAGAGAGCTGGCATAATGGGTATCTGCTGTAAACGGTTGGGCTCAGCCCCAAACCCACTCACTTTCCCCACCCAGCGTGCTGCTGTGAGGACATTGGGTTCTGCCAGTAGAAAGCCTGGCATGGACTATGGGCTCCTTGAATTGTGGGTTTGCGGCAGCACAAGGGGGAGGTCAGGAGAAACTGTGTACAAAGTTTTCAAGCAGCCAAGAAAACCGAAACATCTGCAAGATTCATGTGTGGGTTTTTGGCAAGGCCTGGCGGCCCTCTTCCTCATAGTTTGTCTGCTGTGCTTTGGCGCCTGGATCACCATCTATTTTTGACCTTTCTTCCAATTCCCAAGGATTCGGGTGGGGGGAGAGATGCGTGGTCCAGGCTGAGGGTTTGCGCCTTTTTCATTGGTATGCAATTGTCCTGTTGCTGGAAAACGAGCTGTGTGTAATAGCCCCCTCTTGGGCTTTCTTTTAAGCTGCTGCCATTGCTCCAGAAACAGAAACTCTACCGTACCCCTTTTGAGCCTGGTGGTTCCAGAGGTGGGAGTGATCCCTTGAGGAGGCGGAGGTGAAAGATTCTCATGGCAGGACATGCTGTTTTCTGCCCTCCCACAACCATAAGCCCATCTTGTATTTCCTGAGTTGCCTCTTGGGGAGTCAGAGTGGGGAATTGGCTGGTCTCTCTGCCTGCAAAAGATTTAAAGAAATGTGCAGTCTCCTTAGTGACTGCTGACAGATGGATACCCTCAGTTCCTCTGTTGCCTGAGGCTCCCTCATTTAGCTGCATAGCACAGCCACTGCAAAATATGTCTGTTGGCAACAACAAAAATTAGAAAACTCCTGTGGTCCTGAAGGTTAAACCTCTGTTACAAAAGATATGCTTTTAGTGTAACTGTTCCCTTTTTGGGGGTGGGAGGAGAGGAAGAGAGAGCCGAATATAGCTCATTCTCCCCAATGCCAGATGCCCATCGTCCTTGATTTCCCCTTTTGTGTTACAATAAGTCTTTGTACACTCCTCCTCTTTTGCCTGAATACATTGAGTCCTGTTCACCTTGGAGTGTCTCCCAGGAAGAAGAGGTCCCCTTTACTCTAAAACTAAGCAGCTTAGATACACAGAAGGAGCCAGCCAAGGCTTCCAAACTTCCTGGCACACAAACACTGGTGCAAAAAGGAAAGGCTTCCCTTTCTGCCTGTCTTTGCCCTGGGAGAGGTGCCATCCACCCGAGAGTGCATGGGAAAAGGCACCCTCAGCCCCAGCAAAATCGACGCTGCTACAGTCCTCCTAATGCATCAAGGTTGAGTTGCTACACACAGCAGCCTTTGTTGTGTGCTTTCTTCTACACCGGTCCAGCTGCAAGATATCCTGGCAGCACCCACGTTGATTCTGTGGGAGCCTTTGGCGGCTTGGAAGGATGCAGGAAAGTTTTACAAATTAACTTGATCTAAGCAGTGTCTTCCGGAAGAACATTCAAAGCTTTGGCTGCAGGCACCAAAGTGGCAGGGAAACAATGGAACCGAACACCTCTAAATGTGATTTGGAAGAGAGAATGGTGGGAAGAGGAATGCTTGATGTGTATGGAGTCCAGCAAATCAATAATGTTTGTCGCTTGGAAACAAAACAGTAGCAGTTTTATTGCTGTTGTTTTAAAATTATGTACTCTGTTCATGGCTGTACCTTTCCTCAGATTTTATTTTATTTTTTATGTATTTATTTATTTATTTGATTTTTACCCCGCCCCGCTAGACAACATCTACTTTTGATGGGAGGTTTTAAAGCAACATAGTTCCTTAATTCAGAATTGCCTGTGTATTTTTTCAGGCATCAGTGTAGAGATAATTCCAAGGGAAGGACTTAAACCTTTTCACTTTATCGCTTTGTGATATTCTTCTCTGTAAGCGAATAGTTGGGAATACTTGCTCGTGAATAGCTCGTGCAGACATATTAATAGGTTGATGACATTCTGCAGTGATGCAAAAGAGCTTACCTAGACTGTCTGTGCTTGTGTACCATTAGAGTTCTGAAGTTGGGAGGAATGCTTACTTAACAGTGTCATGTAGCTTCCAAGCTGTAATTCATATACAGCAAAAGCAGCTCTTTACTCTGGTAGAAAAAGACTGGGTAGTGTCTTTACTGTTATTATTCTGGCACACTAAAGCCTTGTTCAGGATCATGGGTGAAAATCATCCTACCCGTCATGCAATAGGTGTGAAAGTGACTAAGGTGTTCTGGAGCTCACAGGTTCTCTGAAACTGAGATGTGGTTTTATGTTCTGGTTTCATTTCTGTACACATTGAGGCACATCCATGATCCATGTCTTCAAAAGTAGTGCAAAAGGCAACCACTGACATTTTCACAAACAACAAAAGAGAGGATAAATCTGTATCTGTTGATGGGAATTCATAAGTTTGCATTTTTTCATGCCAATATATAAATAAAAATCCTTGCATGTAGAAAACTGGCAAATGGGAAGGCTAGGGTTGACTAGAATCTCCCTTCCAGATGTGATGGTTTCCTATATGATAGAAGCCTTTTGCCTGGATAACTGGTCATGTGATGGCCCAGCTGCTGGTTGTGGTGTTACTGCTAAGGCTCAATTTTTGTGAAGAAAAGTCACATTAGACAGCATGGTGGATTTGATTTAAGTCACATTGATTTTAAAACCAATTTAAATTTTGAAAAGCAGGTGTTTTTTATGATTTGAACTTTAAAAATCATTTTCTAAATTTAAATCATGATTTATTTGTGGTTTAAATTGTGATTTAAATCAATTTGATTTTTTAAAATCATTTACAGTATTTTTATCCACCCTGCTAGAAACTGGGACTGGCTGTTCATGATCAGTTGACGATTTCACTGAACCTGTGGAAAGTGGAGAATATCATTTTGGATGTTAACTACTCCAAGTGTGTAAAATTAATTGCATACCTTTGAATGAACAACATCATTTATAGGGACTTGATTTATCTGGTTCCCTTGCATAATCTGTCTACTCCTTTCCTTGTTTCAGAATGTCCTGCTGGGTAATACCTTAAACACATACCATGGTCATGCTAGGAAGTACAATAGAGAGTCCTTAGAAGTACAATAGTTTTCTATTCCCTTCTTCTGGGGGCATTCTGGGACTGCAGCTTGCTCAAGGCTACACAGGCTGGCTCTTCTATTGGGAGGAAAAGTGAGAACAGTTCCCAACCTCTGGGACTGCAACTCTCTGAGATATCCAGCCCGCTAGGAACTAATGCCATTGTTTAAAAGTTCATCTTTTTGTGGTCATTGCTGACCATTATGAGAGCTGGTTTGGTTTAGTGACTGCAACAGTGGCCTTGGGTCTAGAGGACTAGAGTCCAACTTTGAGCTTTGCATGGAACTTATTTGTAGCTTTGGTCATGCCACTGTTGCAAGGTCTTCATTCCTCAGTTGCAAGCTATGAATAAGAATCTTTCTCTAGCAAGCTGTTATGTGGAAGATTATGAATTACAGTGGTGCCTCGATTTATGACCATAATCCGTTCCAGAAGATGAGCGTAACTCGAAATGGTTGTAAGTCGAAGCACCATTTTCCATAGGAATACATTGAAACCCCATTAATCCATTCCGGCTGGGGGGGAAAATGCCAAAAAATGCAAAATTAAAACACGCACACACAGACACACACACACAGAGTAAAATTAAAACACACACACACACAGACACACACACACACAGACAGACCCAGACCCAGACCCAGTGGACCACCATGAGGCTGAGGAATAAAAAAAACACACACAGAGGCAGCCCCAGTGGAACGCCATGGGGCTTGGGGAAAAGCACAACCCCCCATACACAGCCAGCCCGAACACGATGGGGCTGGGGGGGAAAACACAAAAAACATCACAGCACAGAAACATACCCCCTCCCCCCCCAAAAAAAACCCAAACCCACCCTGCAGAAGCAAAAAACAGCACCAGACAGAAGCCTCCTCCGACCAGGCCCTCTAACCGTTGGGGCGAAAGAGCTACAAAGCAGCAGCCTCTTTGCCTACCAACGGTTAGCAAATTTGAATTCCCCGCCTTTTTTCCCTGCCTTTTTCCTGTCACAGCTCGAAGCTCCAGCTGCAAGTTGAAGCAAAATTTTGCAGCTGGAGCTGGTCGCAACTTGAGATGGTCGTAAGTCGAGGCACCACCGTACTTGATATACTGTAGCCATCCTTCAGTCTCAAGAGACTATGGTATCGTGCTCTGTATGGAGGTCTTGGAACAGTGTCTTGTGTGGCTGAGAAGGCCAATTCGAGAGTGACAATCCCTTCCACACTGGAGACAAATCCAATCTGTCCCCTGTCCAGCTCCCTGGTTTTGCTTGTTTCGGGACTGCCTCTTTGCCTCGGTCTGCTGTACAAGTGTCTCTTCAAATTGGGAGAGGCCATGATGCACCGCCTGCCTCCAGGCTGAACGCTCAGACGTCAAGGTGTCCCATCTGTTGAGGTCCATTCCTAAGGCCTTCAGATCCCGCTTGCAGATGTCCTTGTAACGCAGCTGTGGTCTCCCTCGGGGGCGGCTTCCCTGCACTAATTCTCCATACAGGAGATCTTTTGGAATCCGACCATCAGCCATTCTCACGACGTGCCCAAGCCAACGTAGACGGCGCTGTTTCAATATTGTATACATGCTGAAAATTCCAGCTCGTTCTAGGACATACTATACATATTGGAAACCACCATGGAAATGTGAATGGTGTACTTTCCTTTTCATGGCAAAATGCCTGTTGTCTTGAAGCCTATTCAGCTACCCAGAACAAGCTGTTAACTCCCAAGACTGCTTCCTATTCAAAAACTTTCTAAATGAATAACACTTAAATACCTGTATAGGAAAAATCCAAGGCCAGATCCAGATGTTTTTCTATTGAGATAAAGGGCAAAATGGCAACCATTGCCCCTATTCCAAGTGCAGAGAATGAATGGACTGGCAATTGAATTTTACTTAACCACTGGCAAATGGGATGATCCTCCACCACAGCTGAGGCACTCACAGCTCTATACTTTAAGAGCATAGCTGGGGGCTTCTGTTGCTGTCTTACCACAGGATCTGCCTCCTTAAGAGACTGCTTTACTCCACTCAGTGGGTGGGCCAGGCAAGGAAAAATCAAGAACAGATCATGAAGTGAAATGAGCACATGTAGCAAAAGAAGGAATGGCCTTGTTTTCCTAAATATTCATAAACAGAGACAGATAAGTATCCCAAACATGAGTGGTGTTTTTATAAGTACAATAGCCAAAATCTTGCTGAGCCATGCTGTTAGCACAATAGGCCATTGCATGAGCACTTTAATAGTTACGGGTCTTTCAATAGGAAATTATTTGGTACAGTTTTATACAAGCTGGGAGCCTCATTCATGCTCTCTGTCATTGCAGGATAATGTGGTTGAAGCATTACGCACTGCCAGTGAGCAACGGGATACTGTCCTTTTTATGGAGTAAAGCAAACAGCTGTCGGAGGGAGAATACCATGTCAGTGGTGGATCTGTTAGCTCGAAAACCACACTGTGATTCTGGATACACTCTGTCTGCAAGCACCTGAAGTCTCTTCAGCACAACACGGGCCAGCAGCTTCCCTACAACGCTGAGAAGAGAGATACCATGGTAGTTATTGCAGTCGCCCCTGTCGCCTTTGTTCTTATACAATGTGACGATGTTTGCGTCCTTCATGTCCTGTGGTACTCCACCTTCTCTCCAGCAAAGAGAAAAGAGTTCATACAGCTCAGTGGCGATGATCTCTTTACAACACTTCAAAACTTCAATGGGGATGTTGTCCTTTCCAGGTGCCTTGCCAGAGGCAAGGGAATCCAAGGCTGCTTTTATTTCTGCTAAAGTTGGTTCACTGTCCAGCTCTTCCAAGAGAGGCAGGCACTCAATGTTATTTAGTGCCTCTTCCGTTACTACATTCTCTTTAGAATATAGCTCAGAGTAGTGCTGCACCCAGCGTTCCATCTGCTGTGCTCGATCCTGGATGATCACGCCTGTAGTAGACTTCAAGGGAGCAGATTTCTTCTGTATGGGACCTAAAGCCTGCTTGATACCATCATACATTCCCTTGATGTTACCTGTGTCCGCTGCTACCCTTTTGATATACTAAAGGGCTGTGTAAATATTTTGCAGCAATAATATATAATATAAAGGGATTCTTTTACTTTTTCTTTAGCTGCCCTTTCACTCCCAGGCTTGCAGTTTTAATTTTAACAGCTTGCACTTTTAATACTGTACTGATTAGCCAGGCACCACATTCAAAGTTTATGTAAAATCCTAAGACCTTGCTCTTTTCAACCACTTTCCCCTCTATATGGGCAGAATATTGGCCAGAATTCTTCTGGCTTACCCAGAACCACCACTTTCACACTGCTTCATTTTCAGTCTCACTCACTCACTCACTCACTCACTCACTCACTCACTCACCCCTTCTCCTGTTTGAGTTTGCTTTCTGAGGGGGGGGTGTTATTGTGTTACATGCTGCTTTCTTCCCCTGCTGTTACATAGTCTGTCAGTTGTCTTCAGACACTGATGAGATGCCAAATTAAAATCTGGAATGCTGATGTCCTAGATGTGCACAGATGAATGAGCTTCATTTACTAACTTGTATTTACAGCCTGTTTCATCGACGAGAATTAAGCCAGGTAACAGCTCTTTCATTCCTTATTGCAGAAGAACTCATTTGTTCCTTTGTATCAGGGAAGCTGAGAGAACTGGTTCATGTGCAGAAATAACTGCTCCCAAACGCAAACTTTTCATGTAAGCATTTTAGTGCCAGAGGATCCTTGAGGCCATGTCACAGTGGCAGCTTCGTGGTTTCTAGCATTCCTTTTTAATGCAAGTAGCTACCGTGATCTGCAAGGACCTCCCTTAATTTTACACTCAAGCATGAAAACCAGCTGTTTGTACAACTGTTTACTGTATTTTCATAAATTGTCCAGGTTAGATGTTTGGACTGAAAACCATATCTCACTGTGTATTGTGTGTTCAGCAGCATCTACTGAATTGACGGTTGGGCTGGGATTTGAACCATAAACTCCTCAAACTTTCTTTAGGTTTTTACTGCTCTCTAAGGATCATGTACATTGAGCATGAAGTGAGTGATTGGTTACATCTGCTAATTTTGGGGAGGAAAGTTGGGCACATATTTTGGAGGAGGTATTTGGTTGCTCTAGTGCAATGGTTCTTAACCTTTGTTACTCGGATGTTTTTGAACTGCAGCTCCCAGAAACCCCAGCCAGCACAGTTGGTGGTGAAGGCTTCTGGGAGTTGCAGTCCAAAACTCCTGAGTAACCCAAGGTTAAGAACCACTGCTCTAGTGCTCCTTAGGTCATTCCATAAAAGGTGGAAGGAGCACAAGTCAACAGAAGATGCTCAGGCCTCCAGGTTACTTGTACAGTACATGTTAGGTTTTATACTTGACCTTCATTTAAGGCCTCAAAAATTAACCCTGAAGCAGATTCTCACTTATGAATTGAGATATCATCTCAGAGAGTGGCTACTCTAATGGGGCAGTGTAGATATGGAAATAAATAAATGCAGCCCCACCTGTCTGTCTCTCAGTATACAGTAGGTAGTTAAAAGCTCCTCCTAAGGCTTGCTTTTGTCTCCTGGTGTACCTCTTGGTTCTCATGACTTATTTACCCTCTGCCTTATCTGCCTTGGAGGTACATAAGTAATTGTGCTCCATTCCAAAACGTATTTGTACGTACGTGTGCACACATAGGCACACCACTTTTTAAAGCAAAGGAATGTAAGCAGTTGGAAACTACTATGGAAAAAGACATTTGCAAGCACTTTCCTCAGACCTGGCCAGAGGATTTAGGCAATGGAAACTAGAGCATAATAGCAGTTGGAGGTGGAAGTGTAGACACCTTGGTAACAGAGCCTCTTGCTCTCATAGCCTGGTGATTGCCACCCAGCCCATCCCTCATATCTAAGTCAGATTACTAACTCGTGGGTGTGTTTTAGTGAATCTTCTTTTTTTCTTTCCACTGCCTCTTACTCCAGTTGTCCTGGAACCTGAAAGTACCTTTGCAATTGGGTGCCTGCAAGGACAGCTATATTTTGGGTTTTTAAAATTTGTATTGAATTACATTTCTAAAAACATACTGATTTTAAATTGAAAATCAGTAGTTTAAAAAAACACATAGATCAAGAAATTCCATTTTTGGAGGAATGTTGTCCTCTGCCCTTTCTTTGTAGATGGACATGCCCCCTTCTTGTTGTCTTCATGCCTTCTTTTGTTGCATTCCTGCATTGGTGTGACTGATTCTTCTCCTTTAAGCAGAGATTTCACCCAGAGAATGTGAACATTGTGCAAACCGAGGGTTGAAAGCCAGTTGCCCTCTGTAAACATTTCGCATGAATGTGGCATTAGTAACAGGCTTGGTTAAAAAGGTTCTCTCTCAGAACTAGAGGTGGTAATTTTCCCCTTATTCCCGTAGTAAAATGCCTTTTGAAAACACAGCACAGAGTTTTCCGGAGAAGCAGTGATTTCAAGGATGCTGATTGCTTTGTGCTGCAAGCGTTGACCAGTGTATGGAATGGAAAAAAAAAGAAACAAGTATCTTGGTCAAATCTCTTTGGTGTGGGTTGTGAATCATAGATATTTTCGGGGTGGCTGAACATTCTGCTCACCATTTCAATCCGCCCATCACCAACACAAAGTGGTTCAGTCATAATTGGGAAGGAAGGAATAAAAATGGGAACTTGATTGAAAGTTTGCACTACAGTAAGTTTTTGCCACACAGTCTCTTATGCTCAGATTTTTTTTCCTGTGCTGACTTTTTTGTTTCTTTTAATGGTTGCCATGTGTAGCTCCTGGTTAGTGCTGTTGAGCCGTTGGGAAGGAGGGAGTGCAAAAGGAAGAACCTGTTTTGAATCTTTTGCCTTAATTCATTTTTATTTGGCTTCTGATGTGTGAATAGTATGCCATATTTAGAAAAGTCCAAGATCTGGTGCTGGGGTGAAAGAAAACCAAATCTGAAAGACTATGGAATGCCCTCCTGACTGAGATTCGTCTGGTGCCGATGCTGATGACATTTCAGCGCCAGGTCAAAACCTTCCTGTTCCAGAAGGCTTTTAATTGAAATAATATTAGCTGTGGGTCCGATGGCAATTTTTATATATGTTTTAATTGTATTTTAATTGTTCTAAATTTTATTGTATTTTAAATGTTGTAAGCCGCCCAGAGACCTTTGGGTAGTGTGGGCGGCAT